AACAACCACCTGCTTCAAACCTGGTAAGGCCACACCAATTTAAAACTATATTTAACATAAACCCCCTCTGAGCCTCAGATATAGGGGTAATTAAACCATTTAATATAAAAATCACATTAACTGTTCAAAAAAAGTTTTTTTTTAGCCAAAATCTCTATTTTTTTACCTCCCCTCCTGTTTTCATTTTATTAATGTTATGTTAAACATAGAATCAAATTTAAATGGCCTAACCATCAATTTTATTAGAGTTGAAAGAATAAAGCATTGTTTTTCAATCTCCAAGTGTAAGTTATGTCGAAACGAATTAGGTTTTCTTAATATTTTACTATGATCCTGTTAGAGTCAAATCATTATGACTAATTAGATCTTGAGTAGATAATTTTTTTAATGTATTTCAGATGTTATTCTTGATGGTCCATAGTGATTGAGATGATAATTATTTTATGAACATTGTATTGATTCGTACAAAAATAAATGTCTAAAAAAACATAAATTGATTATTAAATATATGACCAAGGTAAATTATTACGTACTGTACGTACAAGGCTTCAGCGAATTTCTAAAAATCTACTAGATTAACCGTTCCTGATGGGATAGAAAAAAATTTGATTTATGTACTGTTTCTGATAGGGCTTTAAATCGATTTTTTATGAAACTGTTAGTCATGACTTGTGATTGATTCGTAATATTGATCTTGAAATTTACTAAATATTGGTTCTTGAAATAATATAAGGATATTTAGGTTGAAAACCTTTCTTAATGCCGAAAGCCGTGATATTTGCAATCCCTTTTTGTTTTTTACATATGCATATTGACCTTATACCGCTTTACTATTTCGATAGTGCATAATTTTTTTAAACTTTATCAGGAACGGTATGTAAATAGTTTTTTTTTCTATCCTATCAGGAACAGCCATCAAGAACAGCATTTTTACAGATTAAACACGCAGCAGTTAATATTCAGTTACAGTAAATTTACCGTGTTTTCGCGAAATAACGCGCAGGAGAATTTAGGTCTAAATTAAGCTTAAATTCGTGCCATTATTCGAAATAACGTGTATGCCCGTTATTTCGCGAAAATACGGTATAAAATTTATGGAATTATACAATTTAATCATAACTAAAAGGTTTTTTTTAGCATTGTAACAGTATTTAATAGTATTTTAATTGTACGTACGTACATGAGTACTATAAAATGCTATCTACTCAAATTGCATAACATTAAAGTTTAAGTCCGGTACAGTGAAATTAAGATTTCTATCTACAGGCTTTAAACTTGGCAACATTCAAATATCAATCTTAAACGAAAGTGAATATAAAATGTATTAAATGCAATATTAGGTTTTGAGTTTATTCATCATTGATTTTAAATTATGGAACTATTGACTAGATTAAGACGATTAATTTTTATCAACTTGTTGACTTGGTCGATAAAAATTTAACAATAACATCATCACCATGATGCCATTTGTTGTTGATGATGTTGTGACATTTGTTTTTGATAATACTCTTGTCGCGATATTTGCCGCGAATTATCTTGAAGTAATTTTTGTTGTGGCACCTCATGTGGGACTTGTTGGTATTCGTTATACTGTTGTGCATAATTCGCAGGATCTTGGAACTGAGCTTCATCTTGAAACCAATGACCATTCCCTTCTATGTCGATGTTACTAATATTATTGTTTCCATTGGATGGTTCGAATGGTTGACATAAGAGTAAATTAGCGTGATTATTTTCAGTTTTTTTAACAATAACTGGAGAGCTATGGACTTCTTGACTGCTTCCAGATTCGGAAACTTCATGATTCTCTTGAACAGCTGGAGTTTCATAAAGTAATAGATCTTGCTTAACAACTTGAGGTTGTTGTTGTTGTTCACCATAAAAATATGAGCCACGAGTATTCTGATTTTCTTGAATGTTCATAGCTAATGGTAACATTGTTGCCGGAAATTGGTAGGCCGAATTATCATATAATTGAGCATTATTAGAGTTAGAATTCGTCGATTGAAAATCGAAAGTATTTCCAGTATTTTGAATGTCGGTTAATAGTTGTTCAGAATTGTATAAGTTCGGATCGTTGGTTTGAAATTCATAGGAATTTCCAACATCTGGCATGTCTAATAAAGCTTCCATATCGTCCCGTTGGCCGTATGACGCGTAATTTTCGAACGATACACCAGATGATAATGGTTGATGCACAGCTAATTGAGAAAGATCAGGCTGAGAACTATCACAAACCATTATTCCTGACAAGTTTTGATTCGTGTCATTTGGAACTACCGACGCATCTAATATGTTTTGTTGATCGACTTCTTGAGTATCCAAATTTTGATTTGGAGTATATGCATTATATGCATCTGGCGTTTGCATAGTTACTTGCCCATCTACAGGGGAATTTGCGCATAACTTGTACACACATTATACACATGATATAAATGTTAATAACATTAATACGTTAATATCAAATTCAAATATTAAATTTAATATTAAATTTAATACATACTCCTTTATAAGATTTCATTTGTTCTTCGTATTCGATCATAGCTGTCTTAACCATATCTTGGTATGGCTGTTAAAAGTAATTATTTATTAGAAAAAGCATAAAATAATATATATAGAATAATAATATAGATAAATAGATAATGTAATTACTTTTCTCTCTTCTTCGGACATTTTTCTCCACGCTTCTCCGATCAAAGTAAGTATTTCTTTCGGATTCGCATCCGGGTTTTCTTTTTTAATTTCTGGCCTATGTTTTTTCGAATATCATTATTTTCACAACGTTGATAAGAATAATAAACGTGATTTTTTAATACTTACCTCTTAACTTTTGAGAATTGCATGTAGGCATTTGGTGGCTTTTTAGGAGCATTTGGGTCCTTAGCCTTTTTTACTCTTTTGGGTTTGCCCTGTTCCGCAGACTCGCCATCATTGTTCGTTTCTTTTTTCGTATCATTAGCTGTTGCATTAACGACTTTACTCTTTCGCTTTCTTGGAGCTTTAACCGGAACGGCAGCCTGAGCCTTATTATCAGCCACAGAGCTTTCTAAAGTCGTTGACGAAACTGAATCCGATGATGGTTGTTGTATGTCGCCATTATTTGCAACGACTTGTGACGTTGTTTCACCCACGTCGGCATTAATATTTGAAGTTTCCGTTGTTTTTGCTTGTACTCCTTGTTGTTCTTTCTTTGATTTTCTTTTACGAGTAGTTTTAGTGGTTTCTGGTGACACATCTGAAGGTGTAGCTGCATCGGCAGCATTGGTCTTTTTTTTACGAGGTGGATATGCCTTTTTTACTTGGCCAGCATCGGAAATTTTTTGAGTTTTTTTATTTTTCTGCGTTGAAGCGTTATTTACACTTTTTTGTTTGCCCGAAACCTTAGACTGCGTGTCATTATTAGTATTTTGCGGTGTTGACCCCGGTAAAGTTTCAACTTCGGCATTTGTGGTCGCTTTGTTTGAGGTATTAGCATCGGAAGGAGAAATGACCGATGAAGACGCGGCAGAAGTTGGTGTTTTGATTACTGGTTTGAAGCGACCCATCGTCCTTTTTTTTTTTTTTCTTTCAATTTAATTTAATTTTGCTAAATAATAATCAATATAACTTTTTTGGGTATAAGTGTAACACGACTTATTCTAAAGTATATATTAGGTAATAAACACGAAAGAACTGATGTTAAATACGAGGGTAAGAAGAAAAGATGAAATACCGTAAAATAAGGTATTCAACCCAAACAACAATCCTATTGATATCTATTGTGGGATGATATTTATTTGAATTTTTTTTTTTCAAAGTGACGTATTAAAAATAGTCACTGATGAGATTAATGATAAATGAATTACGAATAGTATAACCATGGCACACAAGCCTTTGTCGGAGTGTGAGCTTGAATGACTATTTAATATAATGACATTAGTTGAAAATTATTGGTAATATAGATATGTCATTTTTTAAGCTAAAAATTATAATAAATTGACTAACATACCGAGACAATCATTGTTTGGCGAACTAAATTTTGCTTCGTGATTTTTAATGATGACGCAAATTTGTGATACTTAACTTTTTTTTTGTAAACGCAATAATGACATTTTTAAAAAACGTCATCTGTCTATGTAGAAACTTTTAAGTACTATTATTCTGAATATTACAAAGTTTACTGTTATTATTAAAGTTTTAATAACATTAATTGTTTAACCAGCAAAGAGAATGTTCGAGAACTATTATCGGATCATTCACATGATAAATCAAATGACTTCATATCGCAAAGTTGTGTCACATTTAAATGATTTGATTGGTTAAATAAATTTTAATTTTATGTACGTACGATTAACATTAAACGTTATTCAATTACCACGTTTAAAATGGCATCCGTGACCAAAAAACTAGCAACTCTATCTAAAACTGCTAAACTTATAATTGACCTTCGCACAGGTTTAGGTGCAGCTAAATTGGATCCTGATGTTAAAAAAGTCTCTTTAGTTTTTTCTAGAAAGCAAGATAATGCTGGTGCAAGGTAGATAAATTCTATACTTTATTCGATTCTCTTTTTGGTATTTATTAGTGGAATATATTTAAATTATAGATATTTTTTGAGAGAAAACTTACCGAGAATAGCTTTTAACAATCCTGATCTTAATATTGAAGTTTTAATATCTAAAGAGTACGGTGTTAAACCGATTCTGACTGTTGAATTTGGTAAATATCTTATATATGTATTTTAGTTTTTACATCTCTACAATGATTACTTGACTCAATTTGCATTAACTGAAAGAACATAATGATAAAACGGAAGTAGTAATTCCACTATCACAACGACATTCTGAGGATATTTGCCGTGAATTCTTGGATGTCACAAAAGCAACTCCAGCGATGCTAACCCAAAAAGGTCCCGGGGTGTAGAAGTTTCGTACTGTATTTTGTTATTGAATGTACTGTAGTGTACATAAATATAGGCGTACTATAATGTGTATCCGTACAGTACACCTTTTCATTATATAAAATGTAAATGAGTACTGTACTGTATTGAATAAAAATTATAAACGACGGTACAGTACAATACGTTAAGCCTTTTAATATCATTACCGAAAGCAATTTAAAATTACCGCGAAGGAAACCCTGTTATTGAGGATTCAAGTTTATTGCTTACTGGACTCACTAATTTGTTAGGATTGTGACCGGTAAATTATATAATTTTAAATAATTTATTACATAGATAAATACAGTATAACGATAATTTAATAAAAAAAAGTTTCACTTTAAAAGAGTAATTTATACACGTCTTACATTCGAATTTGCGATGTTAATTAAAAACAATAACATTATATATATAATATATCGATGTAATTATTTGTAAAATGCATTTCAATTAAAAGTTTAATTATATAAGTTTTTCTCACAACATGCTTCAACTCATTATTTTATCCTTTTGACTCAAGTTTTTCATGCTCAATCCTTAAAAACTTTTTTGTTTTTCAATATTAATGGATTCATTTGCAATTAGAGTTTTTGGATTTTTGCTAACGAAGATTTAATTAGAATGCTTGTCTTTGCTTTTAAATTCATTCGTTAGTATACTATATATTCATTTACAAAAAAATAATATACTATATAACTTACTGGTTTTTTAACGGGTTAAGTAGTTTTTTGTAAGGGCAATTAATCCCAATAAGTTTTTGTTACATTCGTTTTTTTAATTGTGTAATAATGAAAATAACGAATTTAAAAGTCAATATTTTCCAGAAATTTTATTTCAATAAAATGATTTGAATTATATTGTACAAATCATATCAAATCATCGGATGTACAAAAAAAAAAAAAATCTACACTTTCCAAACTCAACTAATATAAATTTTAAATTTTCATGTTCGTTATGTCCAGGGTTCATTATAAAGAAGTTCGTTATCATAAGCTTCGACTATAAACAAATCTGTATTCATGAACCAAATTAGCACAAATAAATAATTCAAACAAGGCTATAAAATATTATAGAGTTCTAAAATATACTTACAAGTTAGATAACGAAATAAACCAGTTTGCCAAAATGCAGCTTACTTCTTTACAGTAAACTTTTGACATAATGAAGAGTTTTGAATTGCAGAATTATTAAATTTCAATCGTATCTAGTAAAATATGTTTAGTATTTTCTTGATATAAGTTATATGTGTGGACTTTTTCCTAACCTGAGGACTTCATTGTAGTGAGTGAATTGTAATCGTGCTTTCTTGTATTTCTATATAGGAAATCACTTTATTTTTTGTTGAAATATTGTATAAATAGCAAACGAATAAAAAAAAATTGTATACAGGTTACTTTCGATAATGAACTGACAGTTCCAATAGTAAAAATTTTAAAAATTCATTGTAGAAGTAATTTACTATGTTTCTATATTGACTCTATAATAAATTTGTTAAAAAAAAGTTTATTATAGAGTGAGCTTTTTATAAAAAAGTTCAAATAAAATGAGATCAGAAGGTCGAATTATCCGTAACCGTGCCCCAATCCCAATTGGTAGTTAACGATTTGGTATTTACGATACATACATAGTTCGTACTGTATTGATCTTTACTTCACATTCTATACAATCCAGTACGAAGTTATCTTTATATATATATATCTTCATACTGTATCGTATCATTTCAAAGTTTTATAAAGTACAGTACTAAATTATTTTCCGTACAGTACACTTTATATGTATTCAAAAGATCCTAGCGTATAAAGTACAATTGTATTTAGTTGATGGGCTTCAATAAAATATTTGTGTATTATGTTAGTGTTATTCTGATTATCTAGTATGGTTGTTTCGATGAACTGAATCTAAATCGGAACTTGAATCTTCCAAGAAACAAAATCTCTGCAAACTTTTGAGATCGCATAACGATAATGACTTGAAGTATGAGTGACCGAACTTTATGCAACATTGGCACCCGATCCAAGTGTATTACTAATATTAGTGATTGGGCTCTCTCATAGATATAGGCTACACTTTTTTTTTTTCTTAAATCATCAGATTCTTGTTTTACTTGTTTGTCTCATTAAACTTTCCCTACAAAAAAATTTTCGAAAAACGTATCCCGGTGTTACTATCGTCATGTGAATTTTTCTGCGCCTCTGTCTTACGTCTATCACGTTAACCGTACCACTCCATATTTTTTTTCTTTTTTTCTTATTTTAGTATTATTTTATTGGATTATCTATTTTCTATTTTATACTTTCTATATACATAGTGTATCTTTATTATTATATTTAGCTATCTATACATAGCTTATAGACATGAAGTCATTTGATATTAAAATCATTAATAAGGTTGAATCTTTTTCTTGGGATAATTTCTACTATTTATTTATAAACACTGCAGTATTAAATAAATCACCAAACTTGGGAACAAGAATCTGATGATTTAAGAAAAAAAAAAGTGTAGCCTATATCTATGAGAGAGCCCAATCACTAAT